GAGAAATTCATTATGAATTTAGGTCAAATTTCCTGTATAGGGCATCTATTTTCATTTTGAGAGGAGCTCAACAAGGCAGAGAGGGACGGGCTTATAAATCAGTGTGGGCGCCCTTCAATTGGCGAGGAGGGACTAAACTGTGAATCGCAACGAGGACCAACCATTTAGTCTCGGTTGGTGGCATGAACCGAGACTAAAGGGGACCTATTGGTCCCGGTTCATGCCACCAACCGGGACCAATGGTGGTGGGCCAGGAGCGAGGCAAATTTGTCCCGGTTCGTCCCATCAACCGGAACCAATAGGTCCAAACGAACCGGGACCAATGGCCCACGTGGCCCGGGCGGCCCCCTGGGCTCACGAACCGGGTCCAATGCACCCATTGATCCCGATTCTAGACTGAACCGGGACTAATGGGCTTACACGGCCTGAACTTTTGCCCTCTTTTTTACTAGTGAAAATCTACATGCCAGGAGCCTAAATAAATACGCGTGTCCATACTTCATTTACCCTCAGGTTGCTATCGACCAAGTGGTGAAACCTGGGAGCGTAATCTTTCCCAGATATAGTGGTTTTGGTATACACGTATTGCATAGTACTTTTTTGCATGGTAATACATCTCTCATTCATATCACAAAAAACAAAATACAAATCACGTAAAGTATGACATGAGAAAACTAAAAAGATAGTAGAACATCCCTGAGCTTGACACAAACGCCCATCACCTGTCTCTGACACCACCACAGCAGCCACCGAAGAAAAGAATGGCGAATCACCACCTCACCCAAGCGACGCGGCTCCGTCGCTGATATGCAGTTTTGCGGACCTTTAAGGTGGCTCACCAAAAGTGAAGCCCTTGCCGTTTAACGAATCAAACCGGGGCAACACCCCGGACACGCCATCGAACTCCAGATCTGGCACCTCACCACGACTAAGACGCCGAAGGAGGAAACCATACTCTCCATCCATGAACCAGGAGCCCATCACATATTCCGTCTTCCAGATGTCGTCGATGCAGATCACAATCTGCATCCGCTCCTGAATTACCTTCCAAGCTCCGCGTGGACGCTGGACCAAATGTCGTCACAACGGCAGAGCCCGAGGACACAGGTCCACCATGAGGATGCCACCGCCGCCACACCATCTTTGGTTGAACAAACTGGTTTCTAAATCCATCCCCAACCATAGGACCGATGGCCTCGTCAGGGAAGGATCCAAAGAATTTTTATTCAACATCGTCATCGTCGCCGCCGAAGCAAAGACGATAAACAACCTAAAAACCTAAACTAGGAGGAAGTAAAAACGATCCACACGCATGTATAAACTTACACACACATCCAACATTTTAAAGTACACTTAAAGAAAACAGAGTCAGAATAAAGAAAAGAATACGCATAAAATAGAAGAAAGAAATTACAAAGAAAAAATATATTCTAAGAAAGAAAGAATGAAGGGCATTTATGTTACCTAAAAGAACAAAGAAAATAAAGAAAAACAATTTAAAATGAATGATAACAAAATTTGCAAACAAAATGCATAACACTTGCACTAGTTCATAATTTATAAGAACAATCATATAACAGTGTAACTTTCATACATATGCCCATGATATACTCACCACGCAAACAATAATAAAAATAATGACACTGAATTGGAACGCACGTTACCGCCTCGGGTTAATTAACTGTTGTCTTCCATCTGCTGCCCGCCTCGCTCCTCACTTCTCCATTAATGGTGGCCTAGTTGTTGTTTAATAGGCGTCCTTTCTGCCCGCTCACTCACAATCCTCTCTCTTCTCCTCCCATTGCCCTCTTGCCCGTCTCTATCATTCAGTTCTCCACCTACGCAATTGCGCAGAAGGATCACCAGCCACTAGGCTTCTGGTTTGGTGAAGTTGACTCCGAGTCGTAGGAGATCAAAAATAAGGAGGAATGCGACCTCACGGACATGGCCTTGAACGAGCTGGCCATGGTGGACAGCCCTCGCGCCCGTCCCAGTTCTCATCCCCGCGGCCGCGAGTATCCATGTGGCGTAGACGAGCTGGTCACTGAGCACCACCGCAGCGCTGGAAGCTGCGGACATTAGTGAGGTCCCCACGGACCCGGGTGAGCTTGTGGATGTGCTAGCGTCAGCGCCTGTGCTCGTGCGTGCCCCTGCACCCGCAGTGCTGGTCCCGGTGCGCGTGCCTGCACGTGCCGCGCGGTGCCTCCGCGCGTGCCTTGCAACACCCCTGTAATCATGCTACAGTAATCTCATCCTAATGATGCCATGTCATCTGAGTTTGCCAAGTTAAATTGCCCCTGATAAAAACCAAAGTCGAATTCAAATTACAAGTCAAATTATTAATTCTTCAAACAGTAAATAAAAAATGTTGATTGGGTTTCAAATAATCACTAAGTGATTTTAATAAATGGACCAACATCATTTGAAATACTAAATGCCCTTAACTTATTTAAAACAGAACCAGCAACATTAAATTGGTCAATTTTAATTTAAACAAATAATTAAGCATTTCAAATTAAGTTGAAACTCTGTGTGCTAACTCGAAATGTTTCCTACTCCCTTCGTCCCATAATGTAAGATGTTTTTTTGACACTACACTAGTGTTAAAAAACGTCTTACATTATGGGACGGAGGGAGTACTATTTATGTACTCCCTCCGTCCCAAAATAAGTGACTCAACTTTGTACTTTTAGCACAAAGTTATTATTTTGGGACGGAGCGAGTACTAAATTTAAAGTTCAAATAAAATCATTTGCTAATTATATAAAACGGAAGACAAACAGAAATAAAAAGGACATAGAAGATAAAGGAAAAAGAGCAAACGCCGACTGTGCGTGCAATCGGACCGCAAGTGCACAGTGCATCCGGCCCAGCCTAGCTGCGGCATCGTCTTCCTCTGTTCACAGAGCAGCGGTGGCCGCCGCGCGCGCGTCCGTGGCCAAGGATGGCCACGCGTCGGCCATCCCGAGTGTCCCCGCGCTGGATATAGCAAGCCCCGAGCACCCGGCGAACCCTAGCTCCACTCCTCTCCCCCCTCGCCGTTCTCCCCGCAGCACACCCCCGAGCCGCGTCGCTATGGCCATCGTCGTCCTGGCGCCCACCGAGCTCCCTGCGCCCTGAGACCTTGCCCGTCCGCTTCCCCGTCATCTACCACGTCGTCTGCAAGGCCCAGCTCAAGCCAGGACGCCGCTAAGCCCCGGGATCGGTCCCTTCTTTCTCCTTCGGCCGCCGTCGTCCACCGCTTCGATCCGCCGCCTCAGCCGCTCCTAGACCTCACCGAGCCTCCGTGTGCTCCCACGGTGAGCAACCGCGCTTTTCCCCTCTGCCCTGCGCTCGATCCCGAGCTCTGTTTGAGCTGCTGCTGCTGCTGCTGCCATAGTTCTGCCGCCGCACGAGCTTGTCGCCGGCATGATTCCGTTGACCATTTGGTCACGCCCGCCTAGTGCATCATCATCGGTGAATCTGGAGTTCCTGACGGGGCTGACAGATCTGGAGGCTGGAATGGGGACAAGTGGCAGGGGTGAGCGCCGGCCTCGTCCAGCCAGGGGAGGAGCGCTCCTACCGCGCAGCGCACATCCTCGATGCCCACCGCCGGCACCTGCGACGCTATAGGTGGCCGATCGAGCCCGGCGACCATGATGTGCGCTGCTGCCGCTGGGGCACTGGGATGATGAAGTGTGTGTGCGCGCGTGAGAGAGTGAGACAGAGAAAGACAGACAACCACGCCTTGAAGTGGCTCCCGTGGATCTGGCCATGGCGGCTTGAGCAGGAAGCTCCGGCTCGGAGCGGCAAGAGTGGACACGGTCCGGTCCTTGAACGAGCCGCCATTTGGACCGACTGCAGGCGGACCGAACCAACCAGCCGGGTGTTCCCGATCTTAGGGACCGCACCGTTCTGCTGTGAGCTCTGCTCGGTCAGGACCGAGCAGACCGACAATGCCAAGGTGGTGACCATGGCGTCCGCAAGGGGCGGTGCCTCCGGAGAGTAACTTGTACCAGTGTCTTGTATACGACGCTAGTATAAGTTACAACATTCGTATTGCAAAATATCATAACAATAATGTCATATATGGCTTCATTTATTAGGTTGTAGATTTTTTTTCTCTTAGAAAACGCTATCTTGGTAGCAATATTGTTATCATAAACATCTCTCTCCCTATTAACTTCTTGCTACTTAAGCAAAGTTTTCTTGGGTGCATTATGTTACTAGCTAAGGGCATCAGCAACGGGACCCTCAAAACGCCCGCATACATCCAGATAATACGGTTTGAACGCATTTTGCCATCCAACACGGTCTTGTATTAGTCCGCACAACAGTTTTGACGTCTTTTTCCCAGCAAACTGGAAGCAAACCGGGGGGCTCTGCGGGTGCATGG